CCACCCAGTCACCGTGTTCACCATCCAGTCACCGTGTTCACCACCCAGTCACCGTGCTCACCACCCAGTCACCGTGTTCACCACCCAGTCACCGTGTTCACCACCCAGTCACCGTGCTCACCATCCAGTCACCGTGTTCACCATCCAGTCACCGTGTTCACCATCCAGTCACCGTGTTCACCATCCAGTCACCGTGTTCACCACCCAGTCACCGTGTTCACCACCCAGTCACCGTGTTCACCACCCAGTCACCGTGTTCACCATCCAGTCACCGTGCTCACCATCCAGTCACCGTGTTCACCATCCAGTCACCGTGTTCATCACCCAGTCACCGTGTTCACCACCCAGTCACCGTGCTCACCATCCAGTCACCGTGCTCACCATGCTCACCACCCAGTCACCGTGTTCACCATCCAGTCACCGTGTTCACCATCCAGTCACCGTGTTCACCATCCAGTCACCGTGTTCACCATCTAGTCACCGTGTTCACCACCCAGTCACCGTGCTCACCATCCAGTCACCGTGCTCACCATGCTCACCACCCAGTCACCGTGTTCACCATCCAGTCACCGTGTTCACCATCCAGTCACCGTGTTCACCACCCAGTCACCGTGCTCACCATCCAGTCACCGTGCTCACCATGCTCACCACCCAGTCACCGTGTTCACCATCCAGTCACCGTGTTCACCATCCAGTCACCGTGTTCACCATCCAGTCACCGTGCTCACCATCCAGTCACCGTGCTCACCATCCGGAAACCCCAGCCACTCATGACACCGTTGGCCCGTCTTCACCGCCCGTCCGTCTGGACAGAAGAACCCGTCCCAGGAGTTGCCACACCTGTCCGGTGACAGCGAAGTTTGTCTCCTTCTACGGCCACAAAACGATGTCTTAGCGGGCGTTATAATCTTTTAAGAAGGGGAGGGAAGGGACCTATCAGGAGAAAGCGTCAAGTCATTATGACTATATAGCACTGGGAAGGGATCAAGATGAGGATTTGGGATGGGACGGGGGGGGGGAAATGGTGCCCAACTACTTGGACGGTCGGGGATTGAACGCCGACCTGCATGAAACGAGACCGTCGCTCTACCGTCCAGCCCAAGTGGTTGGGTTGGGTGAGGGAGAGTCTGGCGGTCACGACACCAACGCATCCCTTCCCCCTTGACGCACGACTCAGCGCAGTGCGTGACGCAAGCCCACGGTGCCCCTACACCCATTGCTTCTCTGGGTGTAGACTCGACTCCTTCCGGGAAAGGCCACTTTACACCATTAATGGATTGTCCTCATCCCTAATAAGTATAAGTCTGAGATGATAAGTGTGAGTGCGGAACTACATCTACTTCCGTTCTTGTGCCAGGTAAGTCCACTACGGGCTCACCATAGCCCGTGCTACTCGCCCCGCTCCTGTGCCAGGTAAGTTACGGGCTCACCATAACCCGTGCTACTTGGAACTTGTTCCGAGTAGCTGAATCTATAACAACATACATCTACTTTGCCTGGTATTAGGCACTGATACACCGCCCTCCCCCCCCCCCTCCCCACCCACCTTCAAGATTACTTAATCTACAACTTTATCCATGTGGAGATTTACATCCCCCCTCCCCCCCCCCTCCTCCTTCTCCACCTCCCCCTCCTTCCCCCCCTCCCCCCTCGTAACCTGATTGTTTACATTAGCATAATGGCCCGTGATGGGCCTGCTTAGAATATAATACATATTCCATGACAGTTTTTCTTGCTATACGGAAGTTTCCGTGTCGCCCTTCAGCGTCCAGCTGTGAAGCAGTGATGACGCTGCGTCTGGCCATGCAACACACACACATACGTAACTGCTGCGTCACAGCTGTTGGCGATGACGCAACGTACATGTGTGTGTTGACGTCAATGTTGGCGGCTGTGATTACGCAACAGATATGCGTAGTTGCGTAAATGTCTGCTGCGATGACGCAATGCGCATGCACAAGCACATAAGAACAAACATAGTCCAAACCAGTATTTACCCAGGTCTTTACACAATCTAAATAACTGTAATCATTCTTTCTGGCTCATTACTTGTATATATCGGTCATGTCCCACCTTAATCTTCTAGAGAATGTAAATTATGCTTTCTTAATTCTTCTTGATAATGAAGGTTCCTAATTCCTGGAATTACCTGTAATAGTTCAGCGTGAGCGTTCAAGGGGACTGTGGTGTATAGTACGGTGACTGTGCTGTATAGTACGGTGACTGTGCTGTATAGTACGGTGACTGTGCTGTATACTGTACTGTTGCTGGGGCTACCTTGCTATGTGGGGGGGGGGGCCTACGTGGTGGGGGAGCAACTTGGAAGGGGCTACACTGAGGGAGCTCCTCACAAGGGGTGAGGGCCACACTGAGGGAGCTCCTCACAAGGGGTGAGGGCCACACTGAGGGAGCTCCTCACAAGGGGTGAGGGCCACACTGAGGGAGTTCCTCACAAGGGGTGAGGGCCACACTGAGGGAGGTCCTCACAAGGGGTGAGGGCCACACTGAGGGAGCTCCTCACAAGGGGGTGAGGGGCTACACTGAGGGAGGTCCTCACAAGGGGTGAGGGCCACACTGAGGGAGCTCCTCACAAGGGGTGAGGGCCACACTGAGGGAGCTCCTCACAAGGGGTGAGGGCCACACTGAGGGAGGTCCTCACAAGGGGTGAGGGCTACACTGAGGGAGCTCCTCACAAGGGGTGAGGGCCACACTGAGGGAGCTCCTCACAAGGGGGTGAGGGGCTACACTGAGGGAGGTCCTCACAAGGGGGGAGGGGCCACACTGAGGGGCCACACTGTGGTCGGGATTCTCAAGGCACTGACACAATTGATTACGTGTCACGTGTTTAGAGAATAGAATTGACTGTTATTTATCTGTCGCTGGTTGACCCCGAGCGTCAGCCTGGGCCAACAACTGCCCTGTTACAGCGGTGCCCTGCACCTTTGCCCTGCCTCTGACCCCGTACCCCTGTAGCGCTGCCCTTGAGACCCAACCCCTGTAGCAAAACCTTGCAATAAACCCTGCAATAAAGCCCTGCAACAGAGCCCTGCAACCCGTCGACGCTTAAGCTCAATCCATCACAAGATAAAATATTAAACATTCGGACCGTCGACTTCCACGAGAGACTGAAGTTATTGAATAGTCTTCCAATATACATGTTCTGTACCCCCGGGCTGGTACCGGTGTTCGGAACCGTGTACCCCCGGGCTGGTACCGGTGTTCGGAACCGTGTACCCCCGGGCTGGTACCGTAGTGTTCGGAACCGTGTACCCCCGGGCTGGTACCGGTGTTCGGAACCGTGTACCTCCGGGCTGGTACCGGTGTTCGGACTCATGTACCCCCGGGCTGGTACCGTAGTGTTCGGAACCGTGTACCCCCGGGCTGGTACCGGTGTTCGGAACCGTGTACCCCCGGGCTGGTACCGTAGTGTTCGGAACCGTGTACCCCCGGGCTGGTACCGTAGTGTTCGGAACCGTGTACCCCCGGGCTGGTACCGTAGTGTTCGGACTCGTGTACCCCCGGGTTGGTATCGTATTGTTCGGAACCGTGTACCCCCGGGCTGGTACCGTAGTGTTCGGAACCGTGTACCCCCGGGCTGGTACCGTAGTGTTCTGAACCGTGTACCCCCGGGTTGGTACCGTAGTGTTCGGACTCGTGTACCCCCGGGCTGGTACCGTAGTTCGGTACGCTATACCCCGGGTTGGTCTGTTGGTCCTTAAGTTGGCTCTCACCTAGGTAGTATGGAGGGTTCTGAGGGCGTCTTTATCTTGGTTGCTGAAGGTGACTGGAATGTCTGCCAGCTCTGCTCGCTGTGTCACAGGTGTCCTAGACCACTATAAATAGTACTGGTGCCGTGCACGTGTTACGTTACCCATGCACGTGTTACTATAATAGTAACACGTGCATGGGTAACGCCCCTAACACATTTCACAGTAGGTAAGCCTCCGGTTAAGGCTGTGGGCACGTGTTACTGGTAGGCCTTGAATCAACTGCTGTACTAAAGCCTTAAAGCCCTCATTTGGCAATTGGTCCTTCACTCCGTCCCCCTAGTCCAGCGTCTCTCCTGTCCTCTTAGCGTTTCCATACTATCTAGTATACGAGGACTCTCCTATCCTCGTATACTTTCCTTTCCTGGATTAGACTAGCATAAGTACACGACTTCGTATGCAAGACAGACTTGCTTTGTTAGGTGTGACATGCCAGCAGGCAGTGGCTCAGCTCCGGTCATCTCCGTGCCAAGGTGTAACAGCGCCCTACAAGCGCCGTCGATGTACTGCATTGGGTAAACCCTCACTAATCACATTCTTAATTCATATTAAATTCATAATGATTAACCAATCAGCCACCGTCAGACTCAAGGCACCAGTACTGAAGAAATAATGACAGAATTCGTAACAAAGCGCGGAAAAAGACAAAATGTAAAAACCAGTAAACAGAGGAAGTCATCGAGTAATTATCAAAGGTGCCAAGACTACGTGACAAGATCAGGTCATCAATTAGAATCTGAGACGGTAAACAATAGAGAGAAGAAACCTACAGGCTACTAGATGGTAACACCAAAATTCGTAATGGAAGGTTAAGCTGTATTCCAGACTATCTGGAGGGGATGCTTCCAGCACGTTTAATGCAACAACTTGGATTACGAATGTTTCCAGAACGTGTAAAGGAAGTATCTGGAATAAAGGATGTTTCCAGAACATCTAACGGAATAAGGAAGGAAAGACTGCCTTCATAACGTCAAAATAAGCTACCTAAAATATGGAATCTTCCAGGACGTCCAACAGAACTACGTGGGATAAGGGATGCTTCCAGGACGTCTACTGGAATAAAGGATACTTCCAGGACGTCTACTGGAATAAAGGATACTTCCAGGACGTCTACTGGAATAAAGGATACTTCCAGGACGTCTACTGGAATAAAGGATACTTCCAGGACGTCTACTGGAATGTTACATCACTCCGTACAACTGATAGATGGAATACTGAACAATATGTACTGACCAGCCTCTGGGTCGGGCGGGGGCACGGGGGAGCCCAGGTTGATGGAGGGGCTGGCCACCGGGGTGGTGCTGCTGCCACTCAGACCCGCAGACCCCACCCGCACCCCGGAGCCGTTGGAGAGCTGGAGGGGCGGCCCCGGCGAGTCTTCATCCGTCACCACCACCGACGGGCGTGAGGGCGCAGACCCACGCCCTCGACGCGGGTTGAAGATAGTAGCGATGGAGGGACGCCGTGACCCGCCATCCTCAGTCATCTTGACCTACTACTTGCTACTAGTCACTGGTCAACTACCGCAGCCCAGCCCGCACCATGGTGAGGGGCTCCTCACTGCTCACGTTCCTCACTGCCTATGTTTCTCACTGCTCAGGTTCCTCACGGCTCACTTCTCGCGCCCCATTTGCACACCTGGAGAGAGAGAGAGAGAGACGTGTATTACTACAGGTAAACAGGACATGAATAAGGCTTACTGGTGTGTTGACTACTTGTTCATTTTGCACTTTTTTGTATTTTTAATTTTACAGTCCGGAAAATATAAAGCTGAAAACCAAACTTACATATTCCTAGGCCTGGTATAGCATATATATAATATATTAGGCCTAGGACAGCGCGTATTAGGCCTAAGATTGCTAGGAGAGGTTAGGTTAGGTCTTATATATATACGTTGCTGTTAATAACTTTCTCCTATGTCCAAATTCAATAATACAAAAGTCAACTTTCTGGCGGCTCAACACGTTGGTACTCTCAACCGAATAAGTACTCTCATTTTAGGAGGATGAGATAGATAATAGACTGTTAAAGTTAAGACTTATTTAACCACCTGAGATTTAACATAATGACATGAGATAATGTATCTAAGGCATTATTTTGCCAGGACATGAGAATAGAAGAAACTGCATCAGGCTTAATGGCCTCTTAAGGGCCAGCTCCTGTTGACCCATTCGAGGTAGTTCCTGTTGACCCACACGAGGAAGCTCCTGTTGACCCATTCGAGGCAGCTCCTGTTGACCCACACGAGGCAGCTCCTGTTGACCCACACGAGGCAGCTCCTGTTGACCCATTCGAGGCAGCTCCTGTTGACCCACACGAGGCAGCTCCTGTTGACCCATTCGAGGCAGCTCCCATTTATATAAACCCAAACTCATTCATGTATATATCTAACCTACGCTTGAAACAATCCGTACTTCCCATATCTATTATATTACCCGGCAAACAAAATATTTATATTAGCCAGCAGACACTAAAGTTAGTTTAGATTCAGGAAGGTCCTGGGTAAATAATGGTTTGGAAATAAGTTTGTTGATATGTGGAATAAATTTCCGGGTAGCATAATAGACGAGGGATCATTTGATAGTTTCAAGCGTAGGTTAGACATGCAAATGAATTGAGTTAGATATAAATAGCTGCTACGTCGTATGAGGCAATAGGCCTTCTGCGGTTTCCTTAATTCTTATCTTCTTTTGTTGTTATCTTAAAGCATCAGCAGCCTAGGAATCGTATCGATCATCACAAGTGTTCTCTCTCGTCAGATCATTACATTGTCTATCTCAGCAGTAATGTTTACGCACATTACAGGGGCCTGATAGCCTGGTGGATAGCGCGCAGGACTCGTAATTCTGTGGCGCGGGTTCGATTCCCGCACGAGGCAGAAACAAATGGGCAAAGTTTCTTTCACCCTGAATGCCCCCCTGTTACCTAGCAGTAAATAGGTACCTGGGAGTTAGTCAGCTGTACAGGCTGCTTCCTGGGGTGTGTGTGTGTGGTGTGGAAAAAAAAGTAGTTAGTAAAGAGTTGATTGAGAGTAGAGAGGCGGGCCGAAAGAACAAAGCTCAACCCCCTCAAACACAACTAGGTGAATATATAAGACGAGCTAAAACCGCGTCCTTGGCTGAGCCAGACATGGGTACTATTCCACCGCCCTGATCCGAAGAGTTGCTCATACATCTAGACCTTCAATCTGAACCCCACAACGAATATTTAACAAAAACATCACGGATCTGTCATCCAAAGTCGGCGCCTTAGATCAAGGTTGCCACCTGTGGCACCACAGGACGACCTAGACAATGTTGCCAGCTATTTTGAAGTCTTGTTCTGTTGCCACGTAATGTATACAATGGTAGCCAGGTAAACTAAATACACACACTGTTTATAATTGTGAGTTCTGGTAAAGTCGTACTTGGTGAGCAGATCCTGAGTGGTGACCAGGCATTGAGGTACGACTAATGACTAACAGATCGTTATGATGATAACCCATAACCACGCGACGGGCAGCGAAGCCCTCACTAACCAACACGACGAACAAGAACATAACCAGTGCTGGGTGTTCCCCTTGCCGCATGCCGAACTGATGCGGCAGGCCGCAGACACACCTGCCTCACAGCTAACCTGCGGCCCCGCCGTTCACGTCGCTGACGTCTGGGATCCATAAGACCATTAACGGAATGGAATTGGCTCCCGCCACAATCAGAGAAGATGATGACCCATCACTGATGGCAAGCGTAGGGTGGGGGCGGAGCAAGGGCGGGGTTGGGCTGGCCGGGGCGGAGCACGGGCGGGGTTGGGCTGGCCGGGGCGGGGTTGGGCTGGCCGGGGCGGAGCACGGGCGGGGTCGGGCTGGCCAGAGCGGAGCACGGGCGGGGTCGGGTTGGCCAGGGCGGAACAAGGGCGGGGTCGGGCTGGCCGGGGCTGGCCGGGGCGGGGTCGGGCTGGCCGGGGAGGAGCAAGGGCTGGCCGGGGACACAGTAAGGATGGGGCGGGACTGGACGGAGCGACGATAAAAATAAATCAATTGGAGAGTGAGGTGGAGGCAAAACAAGTTACCCCCAAAAGTACTCTCCGGGAACCAGCCTTTCTGTACTGTCCCCGGGTACTGCCTGCGGCAGATACTTCCCGTTATGGCCGCTTGAAAGACAAAGTTATTTCTCTCTTGGTTTATTCACCGACCAATATCCAATACCAGCGCCAGCAGTCTCTTCCCTCACTACTGGCAGCTGTTGTTTTTGTGTCCTCTCTGCAGCTGCTGCAGCTGCTGTCTGTCTCTGCAGCTGTAGAGGCGCCTTACAGTGCACAAACAACAAGACTAATAAAGGCCACATCACCTCTATACACACACTAAGACCATCACCAGAGAGATCCTGACCAGCAGCACCAAAATAATTGACAGACACAGTAGTAGTAAGATATCATACATAGCAGAAGCACTAAACATCAAACACCCTCATCCAATTATCAACAGCCAACTCATATCTCTGTTTACCCTTCCTCCAGGAAGAACAAAAAGAGAGAACTGCCGGTGATGCCTCACCAACTGCCCCAGCCAACCAATGAGAACGCAGAATAAAATATGTTTGAGAGATTTTTAAATTTCCTCTCCCCCCATTAAGTAAACTTTTGGAAATACAGAAAAGAATTAGACCGTAATGTTTGTCCAGTCATTTATGACACATGTTGAGTCGTCCGCCCTTGAGATGGATGGGCTGAAAGAAGTATTAGATACCTCAATGATTCCCAGTATATACTGTAGTGTGTCACCGACATATTTGAATGTCTTGACTACGAAATCCTGGAGATCGAGGCTCCGTGGCAAGCTTCAAGAAGTCTCAGGTTTGAGGTTCACTGTAGAGTGCGGAAGACAGAACACCATTCTTGATGTTTTAGTGGATGGTACGTCTGGTAGACTCGTCGCAGACGTATAACGTAAACTAAGTGATGCGGGTGTGTGTGAGCGGTAAGAGTGAATACACTCACAGGTTTAAGAAAAGCGTCATCAGTGCATATGTAGGTGGAATAGTGCGCACTCGCTCTTCGCGGAAGCTCTTGCACCATGAACTAATACGTGTTCGCCAAATTACTGTGAATAACGATTACAGTAATACAGAACTCGACGAAATAGTAAGAAGCTGAGTGATCACCACACTGGGGATAGTCGGCCTCCAGGGAAGACATTGTAGTGTATTATAAAAATACATTTAACCAGGCCTATAAGAGAGATGAAAAATCTATAAGTGATATAACTGACAGGCAGTGAAAACACTCAAGATTGGTATTATCACCTCTTATAACATCTCTCATACACCTTCCGTTTTCATGAAACAAAATAATATTTCTGCCTCCTCTGACAAATTGAACTGTACTTATGCAGTACATGAATCCAAGTGAAATTCTGGACATTGTGTGCTCTGAAACGTGAGCTGTATTAGACCAAGACTGAGTAGCCATCTCACAATTAATTTAGATGAAGGAGGGATTAAGCCCCACCATTATCTACACCACAACATCATCCTGAATTCTCAGGACGTCGTAAAAGGCGCCAGAATCAGCAGAAGCCCCAGTGACCGAAGGCGGCTATGAACACTTGAGGCTATAAACATCCATGAGCCGGGCCCAGTAATACACACTCAAATCAATTTATCATCGAGGACCCAACTGTTTGAAAGCCCTCCAGAGGGAAATTATTTGTGGGGGTCAGATAACCAACAGCTGATATTAGATAACAATCACTTGATCCTATACTGTGTCGCGCTCTACGATTTGGGACTCCCCCTATTCCCAAGAGTATGGTGGCTTGAGGTGAACCTATACTTATACATTGATGTTTTTTCATGTAATTTTATTATGCTCGTATTCTCTATGCCATATGTATATTTCTGAAGATGTCAGGTGGACAAAATGTTGAAATAATGATTGAAAGACTAAGCGAGCTGATGTTTCTTCACCTTCTAGATGGTAGAAGGTATATATGTAAAATGAGGAAATAGCCATAAGAAAATAAGCAATCTTAATAATGCTGTTGTGTTTAATTCCATATGTATATATATATATATATATATATATATATATATATATATATATATATATATATATATATATATATATATATATATATATATATATTGTGTGTGTGTGTGTGTGTGTGTGTGTGTGTGTGTGTGTGTGTGTGTGTGTGTGTAATGACAAAAGAAGTGAGAAACAAAGAGACATATTCGCGCTAGTTAGGCATTATATTGTCTTGTATAAAGGTTTCATTCAAGATCCGGGAACATCTTGCCTTCATTAGCTTCTTTTGTGCCTCTTAATGCTCCTCCCGAAATGTCTTGTGTTACGTCTTAAAAATAATTCCCCCAATATTTTCATCTTTATTCATTACCAACTTTCAACGAGTCTTTCTCATCAAGATATACACAATATTTGGGTGTACATAAGTACGTATGGGTACAAATGAGTACACGTGGGTACATAAGTACATATGGGGTACAAATAAGTACACGTGGGTACATATGTACTTATGTACCCACACATTAGCTGACATTGGGGTTGCTAATAGGAAGTCCCCTGCATGGGGAGCTGCTACAGCTCTAAGTCTGGCAGTGTGAGGTGATGGACCGTTGACCTCCCAAGCGGAGCCCACC